TCGATGACTCATCATTTTCTTTCTATTACGTCATACTGACAGCTATATATCAAGTGCCAAGTACACCACATTATGTCACTATATGTCCTTCCACATTGTCGGCAAGTTTGTTCCCGAATCTACGTTTGGTAATAGCCCGAAAGTTTGAGTCATGTGTTTAAAACATGTTGTCCTGCCGCTGATGAACTCATTGTTGTGCTGTTATCGACATCAACACGACGCTTCGTTCAGATGGCAGGTGCTGGCGACGGGATCCCCACCTTCAAGCTTGTCTTGGTAGGTGATGGTGGTACAGGAAAAACAACATTCGTCAAGCGCCATTTAACCGGTGAATTTGAGAAGAAATATGTTGGTGAGTCTGTTTGAGACTGCTGTTTCCTTACTAGCTCCTTGGCATTAATTTCGCTTACATTATCTCATTTTCTTTTACATTATCTCATTTTATTGTTTAGCAACTCTTGGAGTAGAGGTCCATCCTCTTATTTTCCATACTAACCGAGGACAAATTCGATTCAATGTATGGGACACTGCTGGACAGGAAAAATTCGGCGGTTTACGTGATGGATATTACATTCAAGGTGAGATTGATTCTCGCATATGCTTTCTTGTGGCATTTTAATCTCCAGATGTTCAGGCCAATGTGCAATCATAATGTTCGACGTAACAGCTCGTGTAACATACAAGAATGTTCCTAACTGGCATCGTGATCTGGTTCGAGTTTGTGAAAATATCCCGATCGTGCTTTGTGGAAATAAGGTAAGCCTTCAAATTTGGAGCAAAAAATATGGGCACTTCTTTACTTTTTTCGCGATCTTTTGAAACAACTCTCATAGCCCGGTCGTATCTTCGGATTTTACATTGGGAATGAGATATGCTGCGTTCAAATGAACGTTTATGTTTGCTGTTCTCATGCGACACGCAGTGCAACGATAAGTAGTGCGTTGATCAGTATTCACCGAAGGTGTGCTTGTTGATTTGACGAATCTGTGGTTTTCGAAAATACGCGCTCAGTTTTAGACCTGAATTGATTGACTTCACTCTCTGGCGAATCGCGCTTTCTCTAAAGAGGTTCGTGGGCAGAATCAGTTGATTTAGATTTAAATTATGGACGAGGCCTGACAGCTTTTGAGCGTTTCCCTGCGCTAGTGCGATCTAAGAAGTCCGTGAACACGCAGTCCGTCTATTGTAGCATAGTAAATTTGGTGCTAACGTAGTTGGGAGGGACCTCGCGGCGAGCGATGACTCATCTGCTCTTCTGCTCCCTCCTCGGCAAAATAGAAGTAATTTCGTGTTTAGGACATGAATCTAACGTCAACAGTTAAAACAGTTAACACTGAAAAGTGCAAAGAAACAGTTTTAGGCTGCAAGGTTCTTGCCTAAACTACAAAATTTTGTTGCATGTTTGTCGTTGACT